AGCAGGCTCTCTGCCCTTCTTGGCAATGCTCTAAGTGAGATGCTCCGATGAACTCCTTGAGCATTAAGACTTCATTATTGGCACAAAACATACACAGTATTATTTCCCAACATGCTATAAAGCAATAGCTGTCAATTAAACAAATATTTTGATGTCTTCCTTTTAAAACATTCTTTTGCTTTGTCACTAATTTGTACAATACAGCAATTCTATATTACTGTCCTAGCTCTGAGCATGAATTAGCTCTGTGCTACTACCATTGGCTCTGACCATTTTATCTTTTTCCAGCTCATAACCCAGGCCTATAGAATAGGTGGCAAGTAAATTCATGCTCATGAACATAATTTCAAACAAATTGCTCAAATAAATTGTGCTGCATCTTTTTAAGATAGCCATTTTCACAAATGTTCTCTTTAAAGCACAACACATTTGGCAATGGTGCTCTTTAGATGTCAGGTACCGTCTAAAATAATGCATAACAGATTTCTTCTAAAAATATGCCACTTAAAAAAAAATTATGCCGCAAATGCTAACGGCTGTGCTGAAAATGTATCCAAGCAAAACAGCACAGAGAAACAGGGGAACATACCCCATCTGCTAATGGCCACAGTCACAGCTCAGGAGGGCTTAGGAATGTGATGCTTTATGGAGCATGGCTCTGAGGGTAGAACTCAACTACCATGCCAGAAAAGTAATCCTACGATTAAAAAGAAACAAGTAGTATTACATGGTGTGTAATCTCACAGATGTACTCCAAAAGAGATATCAGCCTAAAAAAGAATATATTAAAGAAATTAAGTCAATAATTAGCAAGGAATCTTGGCATGTGAAGTTGGCGAGATGCTGCATTCAAACTATTTCCTTCTGTGTGGGTTGTCATTAAATGTTACCGTGAAGGTATACGAATACAAGAAATATATCAACAGTAGAACTATAGGAATTTATCTCAGCAGAAAATTGTTCCTATGCAACTGAATAATTAGTTTCACTTAAGTCACTCAGCCTGCTACCGCTGTCTGCATCACCTTTTGTCTAGTTCTTGTTAAATTCCTATTCAGCCATCACTCAGCTCTGAGATGATAGGATTGTATAATAAACAAAATAATTAGTTTCCAAACTCGTAATACACTGTAACATATTTCCTGGAATATGTTTTTTTTATAACTGCCATTTTGTATTCTCTCACAATTGAGAACTCAGCTCACATGTACAAGAGAATTTAAAACCGGTATAATTTTGCCACGAGTCAAATAGATGAAACTAAATTCAGGCTCATTTAGGAGAGCTAAGCGAACAAATTTTGATGCACGTACCAGAACGTCTGCACCAGCCAAGTCAGCCCACATGTACTGACATTCATCACAGACAAATTACATATGGGTGGAGCATGTTCTCCTTCAGACTTTTTAAATGAGGACCACTACTGAAATGGGGTGACTCCCTTCGTCAGGGCAGCACCGACAGCCAAGGTACTGCAGGGCAGACTGGCACCCTCTGCTCCACACCAGCACTGGTATATACTGGTAGCACTGAAAATGAGACATATGTCAGCTGAGGTCTTCAAAATTATCTTATTTTAACAGCACAATCTCTTTAGTCTTAAATTACAAGCAGTCCCCAGGAGCATGGGATGCTCACAGGACTAACCTAACAGTCTGTGTAACCAAATAGATTAAAAGTTGCAGAAAGTCAACTGAATACCTCTTCTTTTGGCCCTGCTGTAAGACTCAAAATCCTTGGGAAATTTTAAGTCATTGTTTAATTTTCCAACAGCGACACCGATACGATAACAAGAGGTGAACTCACAACTTGGAATCATTCATCTCCAAGCACAGGAGAATTGCATGCTAAACCACAGCAAGGACGAGCATGGGAGGGCATTTTCTGGGTGACTGGGTCCTCTGCGGTACAATGATGGGCACTGGCAGAAGCAAACAGGCTGTGTACTTACCTCTGGCTGTCAGCGCAAGCTAGAGTATCAGCCTGCACAGAGGCATTCAGCTTAAGGAACCGGCTCCATCCATCTGCAACGACTCACAGCTACACACAACTCGTTAGCAGTAGGTAGGAAGCAGCCGATTACAAACTCGGGGCAGCGGTTTCCCAAGGCTGGGTCTCTACTGGCTGAGCTGAGAGAGGTGGTCTGTCAGCTTAGGCAGTAGAGAGAGCTGCCCCGAGCGAGTAATGGTCCCTGTGCCCCCCTTTGTGATGGGGTGCAAGGTCTGCATTCCACCTCAGGCACCTTCACCACCTCAGCCCCTCTGATTCCCCCCAGCTACCACCTCCATTAAGGGCAAAAGGAAAAAAAAGAACAGTTTTGAAGCAATTCCTCTGAAATGCTCTATAATTGAAGCCATTTTCATATAAACAATTAACTCAAGAGATGGGATGAGATGATGAAGGCAACTCAGGCTTCTGGTGGGATGACAGAGAGGAGGAGAGAGAGGCCAGTGACATTGCCGGGGCTGTAGCGCCCGGAGGGCAGTGCCAGTGTTCACCTTCCCAAGAGGGGACGGGGCTCCCGCGGAGCTGGGGCATGGCCTGAACTTCGCGTTAGGGGGGAGAGGAGGCATCTGCCAGGAAGGCATCTGCCTGTCTGCCCCAGCGCCCCAGCATTGCAACCTGAGGTGTTCAGTGCCTACAAAACATTACCTCAAAAGAAGAGCTACTTAATAATGAAAAAGCCCTCCGATTTATGACATCTCTAGAAACAACAGCTAACCCCTTCTCTCCTAGCATAGTCTTCTGTGGGTTCTTCTCCCCCCAAGGAGAAGCTCGCCAACCCCTGTTCTGCTCCCCAGGGACTTCTGCCAGCTGAGCCGTGCCCCTGAGAGCTGATGTCTGTAGCTCAAACAAACAAGCAGCCCTTCATCACAGCGGGTTCTGACAAACTGCAGAAAGACAGCGCTTTGTGATTTACAGATTACAACAGCAAAACACACGTTTGCCCCCCTTTCCTCTTCACTGGATACCTATCCACGGCATCACAGCCCACCTGACTCCGCTCTCTTAACATCCACTGCCCAGGGACAACTGCTTGCTAATGGATGGTATCGCTCTCTGTAAAAGGTCTTCCAGCACAAGCAAAAATAGAAGGATGGCCCTGCCCTAATTATGACCAATTTAAAAATGCTTTTTAGCTTCCTTAGGGCTGTAAGCATTAGCTGGCTGGGTTTAATTCAATGAACTGGAAGCAATGAAGTTCATTGAAGCTGGTTTGTACAAAGAGTCTTCTTTCATGTAGGCAGCATTAGACAATGCGGTGCTGGTTCCCAGGAGAATATTAAACATTTAATATACTGGCAAGTGTAACATTATATAAAAATGTTGCGTGAAGGATGAGCAGTGGAGCTAAAAAGCATAAAAAAGCTCATGCTCGTCTCCAGGCTGCTGCTGAACACTGCAGAGCTCTAGTTACTGAACAAACCTGAATTTGAGAGCTTTTCCTTCCTTTCTTATTACACAGTGGCTTTTGTTAACATCAGAGATAAGTAGCTGAGTAATTTCCTATGTTGCCAGCTGTAAGCAACTCTTATTAATGGAATGCAGAAGTAATTTGCAGTAATTGTCCGAAACTGCAGTTTACTGAAAATACTGTTATTATTGATTTTGGACCAAAGCTGAAGCATTTTTGTAAGAGAGATTAGGAGTTATTGTTCCTTAAGGAACTGGTTTTACTAGCTGCAGGAGAGTGTCACTGTGAAAATTAATCTCAGTACTTTGCAATATAAAATGTATTTTAAATTAATTTTCTTGGCAATTCCTGTACCCAAGGTGACCAATAGTACCCAGCCTACTTTGTCTACAGCTTCTCCTCACCAGGTTAAAGACTGCAGACACTGGCAGTTTTACAGGATAAGGCTGGCAATCTGAAAGCACACTAGTTAACTTCTGCAATACACAAGCCCATTAAAGCAACTTTGAGAGACTTGCTACAATATGGGCTGCCTGACAGACTGAGGGAAACCTCAGCTCAGCAGAAGGCAGGGACAGCTTTGCCACCGCTGTCACTAGAGCTAAGATTTTAATCCACATCTGCTTCAAAAGCACAGCAAACACAGACATAGCACTCCTGCACAGGGGTCTGCAGAGACTGGTCACTGCCCTATAAAAGGTGACATTTGAATATTCTAGGCAAAACTACCAAATCCTTAAGATTCATTTCCAGTTCAGTGCATCAATACACTTCCCTGCTACAAGCAACCTCTCTCTTGTTTCCGCTTCACCTATTGCGGGCTCTAGCTCCTGATACATTGGCATTATTGCTATTATTTTACAATTAATGGGTGACTACCATCTCTGCTTAACGTTATGTCTTTGCTAGGATCATTGCTCGACTCTTATCTCTTGATCCCATGCTGTGGTGAGATGAGCAGCCAGCCTTTCTCTCCCTGAGCTACAGACCCACCCAAGCAGCTCTCCTCTGGAGAGCAGGCTTCTTCCCAGGGGCTATGGTGGCACCCAGGCCAGTAAAGCAGCGTGTGCTGGTACCAGTTCACTTGACCCCTCCCCGAAAGAGCAAAGCAGAAGAGAGCCCTCTCGCCTCTGGGTCTGTGCTGGCACAGCTGACCCTGGTGAAAAAAAAAACCTCTCAAAGATCACTCTACATCACAGCTAAATCATGGAGAAGGACCGAAGCCTTGTCCTCAGGGGTTAGTATGGCAGCCAGATGTGATCACTGTTGTCTTGGACAGTTACAAGTACTGATGTGCTCTGCGTAAATCCCACCAATACTGGACTTTCTATCTGTTAGTTAAATAAGGTTTCCAAGCTTGACCAAGCCTGTTGTCAATATTAAATAAGACCGTTTCTTTGAAAGAGCTACTGGGCAAGCAAATGGCTTTTTTTTTTTTCCCCACCACAATTATTCAAATAGTTTTAATCTCCATGCTTTTTCTTTTTTTTTTTTTTTTTTTTTTTTTTTTTCTTAAGAAGTAAAATAACAGCCTTGCCGATTACTCTTTGCTAAGGTACCCGATTGTGGTGACATTGAGGCTGACCTTGGAGTCACCTCCCCCGCTGCCGCACTCTCCTTTGTCGTACCACCATTTGTTTTTCAATTTGTCCAAGAGGCCTTGCTCATTCAGTTTTAATACTGCCAGGTTAACAGCATTTCTTGAAACGATAAAACATAACTTGTAAGAAAAAATGCACAAATGCTCAGGAAATCGTAACGTATAAAAAAAGGAGCACAAGAGGACAAATTGGCTAAAATTTCACAGAACGTGGAGCTATCAAAATGTCTGTACAGCAAATACAGGGTTAAATATTGGAAGGTGGCATGGAAGATAACATTTGCTCAAAACTGAAGTGTGCGGGATGGGGAAATCGTCTTTGAGAAAAAAAGTAACAAGAACACCACATCATGCAGTTAACATTCGTCACATACGGCAGGTTAACTCGGCTTTTACCATTTAAATTGAAAAAGCCATTGAACTGTAAAATTAAAACAGCAACAAACAATCAGAAAGGACAATACGAAGAGAACACTAAAAAAATGGATGCATTAAATAAACGAAACCATAATTTACCGTCTTATTTAACTCCATGGAATATTGAAGATTTTAAACTTTAAAGTTACCTCAAAATCCACAAGAAAGAAAATGACAACACAATACATCAGGGTAGGTGGAATACTATAACAACATGGATATTGTTATATTATTCCACCCACCTTAATGCTGAGCCTTTGGGGGTTGCTACACCATAGCCCTTGGAATCCAGGTTGCCGCCAACTTTCATGGTGTCGCAGGGCTTGCGCTGCTCGATGTATTCGTTCATCGTCGACTCCAGCAGGAAGGCAAACTTCCCCTTCGACTTCCGCACCCTCGCCACCCCGTCTGCCGTTGTCTTGGTGAACACGGAGGGCTCAGCCGACTTCATATATGACCACATTTTCTCGTAGACGGCTATTTTTGACCTCTGGGAGAAATGAAAGGAGGGAAATGAAGAGTTGTGCTGGCAAGGGCACAGGGTTGAGTTCCTTGGACTTAGTCAACTTAGAGGTATAATTAACACCCTAGAACAGATCAAGGCTAATAAATAAAAAAGGTACCAAGGTAGCTCAGAGAGAGACACATTGCCCCCTGAACAATGACCAAAATATAAAATGGTGGGGGAGGGGGAAACATATCTCAGACATTTATTCTACTAATTGCTGTGTAATTGGCAGCCCAGCAGTCAGAATGAGAAACAGTGTGTGCCCGTCCCAGCGCCTCGGCTCCTCTCTGCTGTGGGCTTACCTGCCTGTATGCTGCT